TTATGAATTTATGCTACGCGTGTACGGCCTTTGCCATGCATTTGAATATAATTCACGTTTACGACGCCACTTAGCCAGAATTTACAAATTAATGTGGCAGCTTTCCGTCAGCAGCCTCCACTTACTGCCAGCATTTGTGCATTCGCCACTTTTACGAGCAGGTTTCACGTTTAATGCAACTTTTATTAGTTGTTGTGCGTTTGTACGCCTAATGGATAATGTTTTATTAATTGAATTTTGGCATAGACAATAGGGGAACGGGATTAACTAGTGCAGAATATGATCCAAATTCTTATTTGATTCTGGAAACATTTTAAAAAGTCCCAAATTAACTATAAAATCATATAACGCTCTTGTTGTTCTAGCGTAGTAGTTAAACAATTATTAAATAAATATTTATTTCGAGGGACTGTCAGTTTTACGGAACTGAAGTTCTTTCCTGAAAGCAATTTTAATGATTCGTTTGATTTATTACACCAAGAAATTTTTCTTGATAGATAATCCGATTTGTTCCCACACTCTAGTAATCGATTTAATTTAGTTACAAATAAACATATCAAAGAAATAACTCCTTTAAAAGTTAAATAATAAATGTCGCCGGGTCAAATTTCCAAGAAACTACCCTACCTTAACTAAGTCAATTGATAAGACTTGCTGTCAAGGCAAATGTAAGAAAGCAGACATTAAAAAATGAATTCAAGATTTAAGGATACACATGTATAACAAGCAATGCCCACGGCTAATGATTTATAGTATATTAAAATCTTTTGTATTTATGTATTGCACGCTTGATCCAAAATCATTTGAAATTCTAGCAATACAAAATGTTTTATATACATATATACTATATATATTATACATACGTACATTTGTGCGAATTTTTATATTTTTTAAAATAACCGGAAACATGTCCACTGAATTTCGCATATAAACAATGCAGAAAAATGCTTAAAAATGTTGTTTTAGTTGTATTTTATTGGCACAATTAGAGCAACGATTTGTGAATGGTCCGCTACAATTTGCCACGTTAAAGCGGCAAGATATCGCCTAATCCCGCCCAAGATTTATACGACAACCATATAAATTGTGTATATGTTTATATTTATTAAAGAGGCGCCGTATGCCATTCGTTAGTTTGCCATTTGTGAGCTTTAAAAGCTGACAGAGACGCGAAAATGTACACAGACGATTTCTCCCCCTCTCTTTCACTCTTTTTCTTCTCAGAAACGCACACACCTGCAGTGCGTTTCTTTTGTAGATATAGAGAATAAATGTTATTGTTAATTTGGTTTATTTTATTTGTACACTTGACCACTTGGTGCTCATAAAAAATGGGATTTTAATATTTTATGCACAGACAATATAACATTTTCACAGCGGCATTTCTTTATATATATGCGTGGGTCGTTGGAGCGTGGCCAAGTTATGCACTTCTTTTGGGTATCCAAAAATAAACCGCGACGTAAAAGTTTTTAACAACGAAAATAAACAGAAAACAAAAAGACAGCGCGTGGTCAAAATGCGCATACTCTTGCTGAAACATAGTTTACAAATTTATAATAATAAAACATTCAAGTAACTCCAAGAAAAACAAAAAAAAAGTATTGATACTGAATAATTTAATCTGCGTTAGATTGTTTCAATGTTAACTAAATTATTAAATTTCTAAACCATAAGAGATTACTTATCGATCAGATCTTGCTTCACGCAACGTTTTAATTCGACCAATTATTAATCCTAATTGTATCATTGTCAGTTGCAATGCGTTGCACTTGTGCTGACAAGACTATGTATAATACCCTACGACAGAGTATAAGAAATAGATATAACATACATATAGTTAGAGTGTATGTATCAAAAAATATTGTCTGTGAAACTTAAGAGCGACGTCATTCTAAATTGCGAGAGATGTAGATAAAAATATATATATATTTATAACCTATACAAATATCTGTGTAAAACGCTTAATTAATTTACGCTGATTATTGATGCGCTCGAAGTGATCTATTAAATCATGTAGAGCGGGTGCTGCTAATGTTGTGGGCTCACCTGTGAGGCGTCTTGCGGTTTATATATATTTTAAAATAGCCGCAATGAAAACTTGTATGTATTGAGATATATGTGCTTGGCACGTTGTGGCTATCAATTAGACGGGGCTAGACTAAATCAATTGCGGCAATTGTGGCAATCAATTAGCGTATCGATTTGTGTAAAGCGAAGACAACATTCTCAGCGGCAATTTGGTGCTCTTCAATTTCGATTTGCTGCCTTTTAGCTAATGAATTTTGGGGCGCCTGGCAAAGTTTGTTCAAGCATAATGAGCTATTATGATGCCTGAGTTGCATAAAATCAAGCTGCATCCACATGCCGCAGAATATGGAATTAAGCAATGTCCATTTCGCATTTCCAACGCTCACGTGCCACAACCTCTAAACATATTTATGTATAGATGTTGCATGCACATATATATATATATATATATGTGTGTGTGTGTGTGGCTAACCACATTAAATACATACCAACATACCAGCCCACATTTACCTGTCTTTCAACAGTTCTTAGTCTGAACTCTCATGTGTGAATGTGTGTGCCATTGTGTGTTTGTGTGCAAGAGCAATTTGTATGCAATGCTGCTGCTGGCTTCTAGCTGCTGGCAGCACGTTGAACGAATGCGCCTCAAGTGCACTGAGGTTGCGACGTGAACATGGAAGCTGCTCCCGCCAGGGACAGCTGCTTAGCGTTGTGTTAACCTTGTTAAAGAGCTGCCCCTCGCCACCTTCTGCTGCCAACGACCTGGACGACCTGGGCGAACTGGGCGACCTATGCTTGCATTTGAGTTCAACCGGAACTAATGGAAACTCACATTGATACCTTACATTTGCCCTTTGTGGCGCTTTTATAGTATTTCGATGCCATAATTAACAAATATTGAACATTATGTTGTAGTTTACAAACTGATTAAAAGGAATATAGAAATTGGTGTGGGGTGGAAGGCGAGAGAGATATTAGACGCTTCAAAGCGGTGTTCAAACTATTATTCTCGGGCGATCAATAGTGAATTGCAAAACCTCTTAAAGGCTGAGTACTTCTAAATGTATTATTTCGAGAATGTGGGTTCCTAAAGATCTTCTCCTTGATGCATTACAATGTGTAGAACTGTTCCCAAATATTGGACTGGGACACTACATGATGTAAGATACAATATTTAAGGTAGTTTCTCATGCCAACCGATTAGATGATTGAAAATAAATATTATTTGCATGCTCTATTAAACAATTTTATTGGATATCTTCTAGTCAAAACTCTCTCAGCTGAAGCATACAAACTTGTTTTTGTTTATTCGCAACCCACTGGGCGAATCATCAGCGAAAACTTACACATCGATGCATTTTTAATTTGATTGCCCATAGCTGTGGTAGAGCACGCTGTGTGCGCAGGAAATTCGCTTAAGTGTACAGCAAAATGTTAAAATTAAAAATTAATGATCTCCTTCCGCCAAACATACCTAACCGCAGAGCACTCACTTGACCCCCCCTAAATAGCCAACTGCCCGTTGAGGTGAGCTTGGCATAACAAAATGGTAAAACCAAACAAATTGTAAAATCCCAAAACCTAGAGTTGCCACTGAAGCAAAAAAAAAAATAAAAATTAAAGAAAAACTAAGCACTTTGTAACTTGACTCAACTTTGGCGCCACAGTGAAAACACGTGGAAATATTTTGGCTCAACTGCAGCAGAGCGGAATGTATTTAGCAGTACGTGAGGCTGCTTCTGGCTTCCGCTCCTTGCAAGGAATCGTAATTTGCAGTTATCATTTATTTAGGCATCCATTAACGCGCACATATTGATGACCAGCAGTAGCAGCAGTTGGAAACCGAACCAAAGCCACACTCCACCTGGTATTTGGTGGCAGTGAGGGAGGGGGGGATAGGGAATATGCTTGCAATTGCTACTCAACTGCGCCAGCTAGCAATTACATTTGAGTTAGTTGCCTTAATAGAAATTCAACGAGCGTATTTTGTTTGTCTTGTAGACATCCTGCATCTTTGTTTCCCAGGGTACATTTTGATTTTCATAGGTAAATGTTGGATCAACTTTTCTGACGCACTAGCCTGGCCTAACGAACTTGTCCCGCGGCGAATGCTCGTTCGCGCGAGTTTTGTTTGCTCAACGCAAACTCAACCTGGTGGGATGCTGGTCTTGCTGTTACTTCTACAAATCGATTATGAATTATTTGACTTGAAGAAATGACTTATGAGACTTCCTGCAGGACAAAAGCGTAAAGCGTCTAAAGCGTAACGCACAATGGCCACGTGCTGTATCCTTAGAATTTTATCATTGTTACATATGTGTAGCTGGCTGGCTAAGCGGGTGGTTCGTTGATGCCAAGATAAATGTCGCAGGAAATAAGTAAGCATGTTGCAGCTTGAAGCATACACTCGTATACGTTGTCCTTCTGTAGGGAGATAAATGAGTTCAAAACGGCTCTACAAATAAATAAGTATACCCAGCTTTTCATCTCAATATGCTTGAGTGTTTTAAGCTGCAAGTCAGCTCGCAAATGTGTGTTCATGTTTTATTAAATTTAAACCAAATGCAAGTCGAATGCCTTTTATGTCAAAGAGATTTTCAAAGACATGAATTCATCTATAGTTTAGCTAAGCTATTTACTTTCGAATTTGACACATTCAAGTTACCCCGCCTTATCTTTGTATTGTAGGGTATTGCCATATATTTTCTGCAAAAACTGGCTGTATGCTGCTTTTCTCTGGGCCCTTTGACACAAATAAATTAAAAAAGTTGCCTTTTTTTACATGGAAAATAATTTTTGCATTGTTATTGTGATTTATGTGTTATTCCTTTGATATAATTTTAATTTGAATTCAATTTTCTGCTCATAAATTATACACGATTAACACACACACACACACAAACACATCTCTTATTTGTATTCTTTTTCATGTTATTAATTTTTATGTTCTCTCTTCATTTTCATTTCAGGTAAGTTTGCACTACGACGAGAAAGAAAACGTAAGTTAAAGCGCACAACTCTAGCTACTGTCCCATAATTTATTTGGTAATTCGACTGTTGGCAACAAACTGCTGTTTATTCGAGTGCTACTTTTAAATAATTAATGCGCAAAGTAATCGATTTTCATATTAATTAAGATTTATTTCATCGAATGGCATTCGTAGAGAGAGAAGCACCAAAATGGGTAGAAAAACAAAAAGGCTGCTAATTTATTTCCCTAGTTGCGCATTTTTATAGTGCAATTATCACGCCCGTTGAGTGGGTCACTCGCAAGGTCCCAGCTCAACGCTGGGTCTGAGCTCTGATAAAAATCTTATAAATTAGTCAAAGAGCCCCAGAGTTTCCCCCCAACCGCTAAAGCAGCTATTTAGACAGTTGATTAATTGCCTAACATATTATGTTTTCGTAATGCGTGCTTAGAGCTGCCTTTTGTTTATGCCACCACGTCTCTGTGTGTGTGTGTGTGTGTGTATATCTGTGTGAGTGTACGTGTGTGCATACATGTGTGCATGTGCAGTTGCTGGGCAACCGCTAAGCCAATTAAGTTGTCGGTTTTTCGGCCGCTATTCAAAGTGTCATCAATGGGCTAACAATTGGAAATTAATAGCTAGCAAATTTGTTGTCCTCTTTGTCGTTAACGTATCCCTTTGAGTCGAAATATCTTATCCATTTGCCATTTATATGTGGTATAATTGCTTTAATTCAATTTGCTTTTGTTCCCATTCAAGTGGCACTTGTGGCATTTACTGTCAAGTAGTCGCAACTAATTTGTGCACCTTTCGTTTTTAACGCCTTCAACTTCAAAGCATTTCATGGTGACTTAAATCAGACGTGTCAGACCCTACAACTGCAAACATTGCCCTCCACATCCACCTCTCTGGGCCGCCCACCTTCAACTCGTACATAAATCTCTTTCCGACCGCTCTGAATGCATTTTCAGCTCAATCAACGCCAGGCTATTCAAGTGTGGGCAATTTACTGTTGCAGCGCATTTAGCGGGGTATGATCGTGAACTTACTGATACTTTTATTTTATAAACATATGAGTTTTTGAAACTAAAACAAATGCACCTTATAACATTTTTTGAGCTAAGCGCATTGCAGCTTTTTAGACGCTGTGTAAAATAGTATTTTAAAAGAGTTCGTTATAAAATGTATTGTTCTCAGATCTAAGGAAGGTAGAAGGAAGGCAAATAGAGCACATTTATGTAGAATGTTGGTAAATTTTCGTTTGGTTTATTTTGCGTTGAGACTTAGATATATTTAGGCAAAAGTATACCACAAATTTAAGTACATTGATGCAGTTTTTGTGAATTTAAGAGCATCCTGTTAGATAGTTCTTGTGGATGCCACCGTTTGAGTCTACTCGTTTTTGCCCCAGAAAGCGCTTACTGGAGCTTTCCACTAATGGGATACTTAGTTCTTCTTCTATCAGGAGAAGCCAGACGCTTTGCTAGTCAGTTGTGATGGCAGCGAAAGTGCTCAAAGTATCGTGTGGCATATTTCTTCCTCCAACTCTTGAGTCCCTCTTAAATGCACGAATAGCGCGTACCATAATTAGAGGATTTATATGTTTTTTTTCTTAAACGGCGCTCTGACATTGTTCGGTCGATCTTTTATTTAAATTGTGTATGCAAGCAATCATATTACTTGGCCAACCCTCGAAACTTGCTGCCCGCTGTGCCTGAGATGCTCTCTAGCTGGCTACTCAAGATGCAGTTGCCCGGTATCATCTCTTGACATCTCTATCACACCCAGGCGTCGCACCGTTCGCTTTTCCGTCACCAGTTTTTTTACTCAATTATGAAAAGAAATTATTAAGTGCTAGCTGCGCTAAATTAGTGCGCAATTGAGTGTAGCCATATAGTGGGGCATGGGTGTGCGACAGGAACAGTGTGTTTGTGTGTGTTTGTAAGGGGGGGAGGGGGGTGGTTATATGGGTATGCAGCTGACTCAGTCGCCTGCCAGCAACTCGTGCAGTTCGTGCAATGTCTTTTGCGGCTAGTCTGCCTGCCTGCTTGTGGCCTGTTGGCTCATATTTTTGCCTCCGAGTTTCTAGGCAGCTTGGCACACGTCGCCGGTGCGGGAGCTGGGTGTTAGCTGCATGATATAAATGGCGCACATTTTGTGCATTTCATTTGCGTGATTTGCCAGCCAAAATGTGTAGCATTTTCCTCAACCATATATCGTCAGAATCGTCGCATTGCTGTTGCTGCTCCTGATGAGCATGATGATAATGTCTGGGCTGTAAGTGACGACCTGCCCGGCCACTTTTGTGGCATGAGGCAGTCAGGCGGCAACAGGTTGCTGCTGATGCACTGAGTAAAGCTACTTAAGAGAGTTTGATGCTGTTTTTTTTTTTTTTTTTTTTTTAGTTTTTTATAATTTGAGTAATGGTGTGCTTTCTGGATACGTGCCAGAATCTTGTGTTGTTGTCTGCAGCATCACCCACCGGTGGGCCGAGGCACTCGTGTTATCAGCAAAGCTGCTAATGAGGCATTTACATTCTTACGTAATTCTTAAGACTCTAGCGAATTATTTCTTAATTGGCTGTGACTTTACTAACTTGCTAATTGCAAATTTTTGCTTTGATGGCAACGCATAAAACACACGGCTTATCCGATCATCGTCTGTGCAACCCGCTCGTCATATATATGTGAATTTAAGTTTTACGATTCTTCAGCAATTTGAACAAGATAAACAGACGAAAAAAGCGACTGTTGCCAGAACGACTTTTGCGAAAGACTTGAGCAAATAAACAAAACAAGCGGCAGCCAAGGCACAAACAGCGACCCACTCATAAAAAGCCAGCCAGACACTCCGCTGGCCAGGCAATGAGACACCATCAACGGCAACGGGCAGAGGCGTCAAAGTAGTCTCCCCATCCTCCTCAATACTGCCAACGCCAATGGTTCAAAGCCAGAAATCAGATCAGATCAGCAGACGGCGTCGCGGTAAGGGAGAACGTCAAACGCAAGCACTAGCTAAATATTTATGCATGAGAATGGAAATTGCTGCAGCGAATGAAATCAACATTTGATGATATTCCTTGGAACTTGAACGAATGTTGTTAATTTTTACACATACATATTTTTTGCTTCTCCTATTTTTTTTTTTTTTTATTGTTTGTTATTTTTATTCAGCTAAGATCGTGTGCTTCGTTTGTAATTTAAATGTCTCGACTCCAGACGAAATTCGACAATAGGCAAGGGTTTTGTAAGTACTGTAAGAACAATTTGTTTAGAATCGAATTCAATTTATGAACGGAAAAAATTTGATAATTGATAGCCTCTAGTTATATTAAAAAAGAAACTTTCTTTGAATATTTTGTTGACAACTGACACTATTGAAATAAGAATATCCTTAACAATTATCTGAGAAACAAATTTAGATTTCTTATTTTAGAAAATATTAATCTCCCAGCGACCAAGAGTGTTATTTATTTTGGATATTTTATAAATCCGTTTAGTGTATTTTAGATCTAGATACTCCATTCAAATAATGTGGTATGTTGCTAATTTGTTTATCGTGTCTAACTAAGTAACTAATTGATTAAGGCTTACATCTGTTTATTTTTATTGCAATCACTAAATACTTTTAAGCAGACATTAACCACTTAGCTGAGCAGTTAATTTTAAAGCGATTACGAACAAGCGTGAATGATTTGCAAAATAGTACAACGTCCAGACTCAAAGTTATTGTTGTACTGCTTTTGATTCAGCTCGAAATTTCTCGTCCGTTTATTATGCGGCGCAGCAGAGCAGATCATTAACACACTGTGTATGTGAGTGCGTGCTGCGCAGCAAAAAGCCAAAAAAAAATTCACGAAATCAGTGGCGACAACAAAAACTAAACAATTCCGCCACATGTGGCGGATGCGGCGCAAAAAGGGAAGTCCACTATTAATGCCAGCCAATAAAAACTTAAACAAAAAGTAACGCTTTCATGATTGCAGCTTAATGATTGCATTCGCCGCACAGCTACTGTGCAGTATGAAAAGTATCTTAAAGATACGCTTGATGACTATATGCGGCAATGTGGCAATCGCGTGGGCATCATTATGGTGTGTGTGTGTGTGTGTGTTTGCGCGCAGTCTAGAAATGCAATGTGCATAGAATTCGTTGTCGGCCGTTGTCCAACTGGCCCACATTACAATGAATCAATTGCTATGAAGCCGCTTGCGAGTGGATAATATTATGACGCTTTCAATTATGCTAAGAGTCAGTTACTTGTGCTCTCGCACTCTTGACTCCATATCAATTGCCATTTAGCTGAGTCAGCGATCGCAGCAATCGCTGATGCAGCTGCTGCTGCTGCAACTGTTGCAAACTTGCACATGAGCCAATTTCCGTTGCATTGCATTATAACAGTTGCCTGTTGCAGTTTCTGGCGTGGTTCAGTAATTAAACAAGTGTAGTTTCAGTTGGATCCGCTTAAAGCTTTGGGGGCAAGCGTGTGTCTGAGTTTTGCACATTGTTTCGCATTTTATGAGCGTGAAATTTAATTAATTAAAACTACACTGGCGCTTGCTGCGTACAGACAGCAGCCAGTCAGGCAGCCAGAAGGATATACGAGATTTTGCGACTCCTGACGCCATGGCTCACCTATGTGTCTGTGCGTGTGTGTGTGTGTGTGTTGTGAGCCAGCCAACACGCGTTATCCAACACTCTATTGCTTGCATTTCCCTGTCACTAACATGTTTGCCAACCTGTCGAAGGGCGCTAGCTTTTCATTTAGCGCTGCATTGTCCGAGTTCACTGTCCAGGTTAATAGTAGCCGATTGCGTGCTAATGTGTGTAACCAAGTGGGCTTGTGTGTGTGTGTGTGTGTGTGTATGTGTGTGTATGACCGTTTGTGCTTAATTATGAAGTTTTGCCGCCATCGGCCATGGCATTGAGCGCAGTAAATCGGATTTAAAAGTTTTTGATTGTTTTCGTGGATTTTATTTTGGTACGCGCTAAGCGAGCTAATCATGAAAAAGTTAAAATGATATCCAAAGT